ACATGGAAGAGGCTGCTTTAGAAAACCCTGATTTCTGTTTCTGAGAGTTTTGTAATACTGCTCTTAGAAGTTTTTCCTTAAAGCAGAAAAAGATCTTGGAAACATGGGTGGGGTATGTGGATTTCCTAAACTACTCTAGTGACTGACTGACTGTGAGATAGAAAGCTGGAGACCATATGAATGCTACACTGAGAGATGCTGGACTAGATGAAGACCAGGATCCCCACTGCTTTGTAATTATCAGAATCTGAACAGGGACAGACACTTATTTGGATGAAATGATGCATACAGTTTGCACATAAAAAATAAAAAAAGTAATGTGATAGCAAGAAGAGTTTTTAAATCACTCAGCAGGATGTCAGAGGGTACATTTATGAATTCCAGCTGAGTTGTTGCTCAGCAGTAGAATGGTTCTGGCACTGAGATAATAATTTGCACAGCCAAAGTGCCTTTTTCACAAAAAAGCCAAGGTATTATGAGCACATAATCCCCTGTTAATTTCAACCCACAGGCAGCAAGAAAGCGCAAGATTGCCATTCGAAAAGCCCAAGGGAAAAATGCAGAAGCCATCCGAGAACTGAATGAGTATTTGGAACAGTGAGTATTTTATAAGAATGCATACTGTGTTTTGTACTCCTAATAAATCTTTTTTAATTAAAATGGAATTTACATTTGATTTATTTCTGTGCCTTCATGCTGTTCATTTTACAGAATCCTTCGATTGTTCTGTTGTTGTTGTTGTTTTAAAAACATCAACCCCTTTTTCTCTTTGATTAGATTTGTTGGTGACCAAGAAGCTTGGCATGAACTTGCAGAACTTTACATCAATGAACATGAGTAAGTTATTTATAGTCCACAAAGGAAAGTTGGGGTTTATTTTGTTTTTATATACGATAAAGACCCTCACAACTGTTTTCTTAAGGCCTTTATTGGCAAATGCCCAATTTTATTTTACTAGGACAAGCAATATGCATATAAGTATTTCATTCTGGCTGCCAGATCTAGTCCTTGAATTTTTTTTTTTACTGAAGTGAGTGAAATTTTATTTTTAAATTGCTTATAGCAATACATTTCACCCTTTTATTCAAAGTTTATTTAAACAAATGTATTTTGAACAAACAAGATGCCAACATTTCTTGGTTTATTTTGCTAGATGCAAATACAAGTGGTCTAAATTTAAGAAATACCATCTATGAATTGAATTTAAAGTTTAGGATTTGTCTTCTGTGAGTAAGCATACTACGCTTGATCTCAGACAAAAGGCAGAAGTGATGTGGGGAAGCATACTAAAGACGATTTGGATGTATACATTAAGAAAATAGTAAAGAAAAACAATTAAAAGCCTTTACAATAAGGCTGTATGGTCTCCAGGGCAAAAGACAGTGCTGTGTCAAGAATGCTGAGTGTTGTAGGAACTTTCTTATTAGATAGTTAATGTTTTTGTTAGCTTTTTATTGCTTTAGTCACAAGAGGAAACCCCAGTGTGAGTGGATTAGTTCAAAGCTTTGGTTCAAGTTTTCTAATATCACAGTATTAATTCTAATCTTCATTTCAAGGCCAATTTTTGTAAGCTTTCCCCGCTCCTGCCTTTATTTTTTGAGCCAGGCCTAAATTGTACTAGTTTCCTTCCTTCCTTCCTGTTCTTTCAGAGAAAATAATTAGATTCTTAGGAGAAAGAACTCATTCCCACTGGAGACCCCATAAAAGGATGGGGGTCTCTTTCTCACAGAGAAGAAATAATGTGAGCTTGCATTGGCTATTTATTTTAAAACATAATTTCATCTTCCAGATCTTTAGAGAAAAAATGTGTTCATGTATTTAGCTGCAAAGCATATTAATTAATTTGATAGCAACTTATAGTATGCATATATTAAGAAAATAGATGAACTGCAAAATGTTTATCTTGATTTAAATAGAACTTCCCTGAACATCTAGGTAAGGAATTTAAATTTCCGTGGTTTTTGTCACATCAAGATCAATCAGCCTTGCCAAAAAGCCATTAAGTGGAAGAAGTAGCAGTGTGTCTATACATATAGTTGTAGGCCCCAGGGAGTGAATCTGATCTTAGTCCTATCTAGAATTAGATCTATTTAGAAGAGTAAGATTTGTTAGTCATCCCTTTTGATTGTGTTGTTGATTTCAGTGTTTCTGTTATAGTTGGGATTAATATTGGATTTATCCCAGAGAGAGAGAGAGAGAGAGAGAGAGTATGAATGAATGGTGAACGAATCACAACAGTATTTTGTAGTGAGTGTACATTTTTACTCCTTATGCTAACAAAGAAGAGGAATTTACTTTCTATACTAGAAAGGTACTACAATGTCTTCAGTTAATACTAAAAGTATTGGAAATCTTTCTAACCTTTCATAAATACTATATATACTTCAGTAATATTTTCTATTGGAACCTTTGTAACTATAACAATTACTTATATGATTCTGGAAAAAATTAGCATTTACAAAAATTCAAACAATACAAGCCCCTGTGCAGGCGTATGCTTTTTGTATTGTATAAAAAAGAAATGAGCTAAATGTTTTCAGTAGTTTCAATCATGTTTTAAAACCCCTCTTTTAATCTTGTACAAAATTTATAAGAATTGCATAAGACTAAATAAAATTCACCTGAAAAACATATAAAAAAAATTGTTTAAAGAAAAATATATTTAAAAATAGATGTACAGATACATTCCAATCCTGTTTGCAGTAGTAAATGATCAGTTATTTTTTATGGTTTTTTTTATACTGGAGTGTTTTGAGGCTAATCACTCATGTTTCTGAATGCATTCCATGTTGCTATCTTGATCATTTAGATTAGCTGAATGATTCATGCTTGATTTCTAATATAAGAGATTCAGTCGATAATATAGTCATGTTGTTCAATAAAATCTCATTTTCATTAATGAGTGTTAATGTTAGACCTACTAATTTGTGCAGCTGGTGATTTGATTTTTTAGACTCTGACATATGCACGAGCAAAATTCTTCCCCAAACTGGCACCCCCTTTATGTTTTGGACTGTAGTGCCCATCAGATCTTGCAGTTGGTCCTACTGCCTGCAAAGGAGGAGATGGATTCTGCTGACAAATATCTGCCTGACATCAGATTTAAAATGGTTTCTCATTGAGATTCAAGGGTTCATTGTCTACAGTGAGACTCAGTATTGATTCAGCACAATTGAACTACATGATTCAAGATAGATAGGAGTTTTCTAATCTGATTCCCAACTCCATGTCCCATAATTCTAATGCAGGTTGTTGTCTATGTGATTTTCATAAGAGTGGTTTCACTGTTCCTCATTTATTGATTTTCCCTATGCAATTGCTTTCTGTATATAGCCTCCAAATCCAGAAATAAAACAAGATTGCTGGGATGGGAGGGATTTTCGGAGAACAATCTGTGAGTGTAGCAGAACGGATCAGGCACTTGGTCCTTCCACATGCTGCTTGTGTCCCCAGGCATTAAGATCCGCAAATAAAACTCTCTTCTGCATATTGGTGGCCACTGCCACTAAGTTAATTTCAACAAGCAGCAAGGCTTTCAGATTGGTGGCTCTAGAATTATAAGAATTTTTTGCTCTTGAAGAAGCATCTGTTTTTAAGTGTGTTTTGGAAAGACAGGATGAAATATGATTTTGATAATAAAGATGAAGGATTTTTTTACATTCCTTTGTTTTTTAAATATTCTGCTTTGACTTTCCCCACTAGTATTTTATTCACTGCGGGCTTTAGCATGACTTTGAACACAGTTGTGTACTTCCATTTGCAGAAAGGCTTTTGATCCAGCAGATATCTCTGCTAGTGGAAGAGAAAGCAAAGTGGTTTTGGTAATTTGCTTCTTTTCTATGCAGGCCCTCTGGAACTATATGGTGGAAAGCTCAGGGAACTGGATTAAAATCCCTTCCTAAAGTATAACCTAATTTTTTTTGGGGGGGGGGACATGACTTAAAAATGTGTTAATTGGGAAACTGGAAAATGCAAATCCAAGAAAACATTGATGATGAGATAATGTTCAGTTGTTTTGTGGCAGAATATGGCTTTCTATTGTTCTTTTAGGAATGAATGGTACGTGCCTGAAAACCTTTTTCGTTTTTGGAAAACTAGATGTCTTTTGTTGATTCCTGGTGTTAGACAAAGACTTTCATCCAATAATTTTCAAATTACATTTGTCACACCTCTAGTTTAACTTTTGTTGTTTAATTTTTTTAAAAAAGAACAACTGGGAAAATATATACTTAAAGCCAATTCTAGATGCAAGTCAGCTGCTTTTTTGCATACCATGCTATACCATACCATTCAGCTGTTCAGGAATCGTACTGAGAAGTACTGAGAAATACTGTGAAATCGTCTGCACATGGACATATCTGTCAGCAGCTTTTCAGTCAATGTATCCCTTCTTCAACTGCAATATTTATAGGAATCACTGCTCACTGTCTCTGCTTCGACTAGTTCACACTGACTCTTTCTTCACTGCTTTAAAGAGGTAGCCATGTTATTCTGTTTTCACTGTAACAGAGAGAGAGAATGTGTGAGAGATGCCATCTCTAAAGTTAACAGCTTCTTTTGGCATAAGCTTTCATGGATTTTATGGAACTGATTGTAATTCTCAAAAGCTCGTGCTAAATGCTAAAACAAACCTGTTAAATTTTTTAAAATGCCAGAAGACACCCTTGTTATTTTTCTCCACAAGGTATTTTAACCATGTGTGTTTCTGAGGAGGAGGTGAGCTTTTTAAATAGGTTTAAATTTCATTAGTCCTTTCTCCCCTTCTCCTGTAATGTGTAGAATAGGACTTGTGAATCTCATCTTCAGTGGTATTTCAAACCCCAGCTAGACCCTGGAGCCATGTATTTTGCCTATGGTTGAGTTTGTTCTCTCTTTGCATAGTAACAGCAGGAGAATAGAAGGCAGAAGCCTGGCTATTTGTACTTTTGCTTTCTCTTGTTCTTGTAACAAACACACACTTTCATGCATGTGTACACACATTTTTTTGATGTTGGCATTCTGGTGAGATGGTGTAGTGGTTGGCATGTTGGACTATGACTCTAGAGGCCAGGGTTTGAATCCCTGCTCAGCATGGAAACTTAGTGGGGGAAGTCATACTCTCTTATCCTCAGAGGATATGTCAAACCTCCTTGAATAAATCTTGCCAAGAAAAGCCTTAGTGCCCCCATAAGTTGGAAATGACTTGAAGGCACATAATAATAACAACAGAAATTCTGACAATGGATCTTGATGTTAAAATAAAAAAAAAAATAGATCTGTGGAGAGCAAGTGTGGTGTAGTGGTTTGAGTGTTGGACTAAGACACTGGGAGACAGGCTTCGAATTACTGCTTAGCAATGGAAATGCACTTGGTAACCTTTGGTAAGTCACCCACTCTCACCCTCAGAAGAAGATGAGGGCACACCCCCTCTGAACAAATTCTGCTAAGAAAACCCTGTGCCTTAGTGTCACCATAAGCCAGAAATTATCTGAAGGCGCACAACAAAACAACAACAACAATTAATCAGATCAGAGAAGGCGGCTGCTTTTGCCTTTTCCTTTCTTTTAAGTGTTGCTTTCTTGTCTGTTCTTCAGCTATGCAAAGGCAGCCTTTTGCTTGGAGGAACTCATGATGACTAACCCTCACAACCACTTATATTGCCAACAGTTTGCAGAGGTGAGTGTTTCAGAACATTTTGGGCAGCTAGCTGTCCTGGCTGAGTGACAAATTGGCAAGTTGTGCTATTTCTACCATCTGCCCACTTCTTGGTCCTGTAGTTACAACTCATAATCCTTTGCCACACTTGAATCAACCTCCTTCCTCCTATTAAATCTGGCTATGTTTTCTTTTCCTATTCAGAACTTGTCTTTCAATATGTATATCTCAAAAGGGTTCTTTTTGGAGTAGAAGGAATGCTTGAATTGCGTATCAAATATCTGACATACTTTAAAAAACAATTCAAGCTGTATTAGACTGGTACCATTTTCATTAGGGAGGGAAAATACCCAACTGTTTCAGTTTCTGAGATTTATAATGATGCTATCAGAACTTTTCACAATGTTATGGTAGAAAGGTATGTTAAAATAAAACTTACTTATCAGTCAAAAATTTATAACAGGTTAAATATACACAAGGAGGTCTTGAAAACCTTGAATTATCAAGAAAATACTTTGCACAGGCATTGAAGCTGAACAATCGAAACATGAGAGCATTGTTTGGACTTTACATGGTGAGTATGAAGGTTATTTCATTTTTATCTTAAACAAATGGAATTTTATATTGAAACTTGGGAAAATAATAGAGAGGTGTTTTGAATAGGAAAAATTTACTAAACTCATGGGGGATAGTTTAGGCCAGTTCTCCCTAGCTTTGTGATAGACTTACTTAATGTCAGTAAATTCATACTTTTTGCAATTGAAAAAAAAAATGCAATGTTTTTGCAATTATGTCTTACTTTCAGCTTTTTCAGTCTTGAATGGGTGCACTACATGACTGAGTGATATTATATCCATGATGTAAACATTATTGTAAAACATGAAGGTGCCTAATTACACTTATTATGGTAATCAAATTGTTCTGTAGCTTATTGCATATTTTCAGTGATTAGATCTAAATAATATCTATAAGAAAAGCAGATCTATTTTGACTCCCAATACTTACCTTTTCAGTGATGAAAGAACTAGCTCTGCTTACATAGATGGCTCTACTATAGAGAGAAAGTATACACGCTTTCATGTAATGACCATGAACCTCCCTTGTTTCATTAGAGCAAAATAAATTTGTGCTTGTGGTTTAAGTGCAGCTTCCTACACTGAAATCTGTATAGGAAATCATCAGAGGTAACTTCACATTGTGACAAAACTCATGAAGATAGAGAAATAAAGTAAGAAAAGTTAGGACCAGAGGCAGGGCAAGTGCTGTGGAGCATGTGTACTGAGAACTTTCCTGACCAGCGTTAAATTTTAAATGCTTCCTTGTCATGAATCATCAGTCTTCTTCAGCTACTGCATTTTAGTTCGCATGTTGAGAGTGGAGGGGATATATAGAAGCCTTTCTTTTTCTCTTTCCTCCAGAATAATTTGTTAGCAGAATAATTTGTTAGTAAAAGCTAATTAAAGAAAAGGTTCCTTGGCACTAAGACCAGGACTTAGGGCCTTTGCAGACTGCCAGAAATAGTGCAAATTGAGTCCACTTTAATTGCCCTGACTCAGTGCTAGGGAATCATGGAAACTGTAGTTTATTATGGCACCAGAGTTCTCTGACAGAGAAGGCTTAATGTCTCAGAAAAAAATACAGTTCCCATGATTCCCTAGCACTAAGCCAGGACAGTTAAAGTGGACTCAATTTGCACTATTTCAGGCAGTCTGCAAAGGCCCTTACTTGGGTATATGTGGTGATGGAAAAAGTCTATTAGCAGGCCTAGAAGGAGGTGGTTTCTCTCCCCATGTTAGAGGTAGTGCACTCACTACAGGACCCTCTCCTTTTTTCCATGGTCCCTATATCATTCACAGCTTTGCTTTGGTTTCCCACCTCTTTGGAAAGATGCTGAGGAAGAGGTGTGTCTTTCTAGATACAAGTTCCCAGTGAATGTATCCAGTTAGGTCCTGGTTTAAATATCTGGGAGAGAAAATCAAGGCTGTTTTGCTTATTGGAGAAACACTGAAGAACTTTCTAGATCGAGGCTTTTAACACATTTATCACCCATGCAAAAGCAGATCTCGTGTAGCTGCCTTGTTTTATCAGTGTTGTAATTGTTCTGCACTACTAAAACAAACTCATACAGTTGCTAGATTGCAAAGATAACATTAAAAAGCTTTTACATAAATATAGTTGTTACTCGCAAGTAGAATAGACTCATTGATTCAGGGGAAACCTGGAGAGTTAGCTCTTATGTAAGCTCCACTGATTCAGTAGGTCTACTTTAGTTGAGCTAACATGTATTTAAGACTTGTATTTTAGGAAAGCTTTTAAATAAAGTGTTTTGGGGATTTGGATTCCTGATTTCCATCTTTTTAAAATAGTGCTACAGATTTCTGCTAACACTTCTTAAATTCCAGTGTTCTGGAATTTATAGGAATGTGTATGATTAAAGCACAATATACTTTTATTGATGGCAGTAGCAGAGGATCAATTATTGACCAGTAATTTCATGAAATTTTATGGTAGCTGACAAAACGTTTTTTCTCTCAAGGTTATTTGTGACTCTTGCTTTAGTATCTGTTGACAAGATTTGAGATTTCTTTCATGCTGCCAAATCAAATAAAAATTCCCATAGAGCCAGCAGTCAGGACGTGCTGTCTAAATGTTAGCATTTTCTAGAAACATGATCATTCCTGGGCTGTATATGTTAACAGCAATTCTGCTTTTGAAGTTGTCCTAACAACTTATATTTAAGAATTTGTAACTGAAATAACATGATTTTTATGCACAGTCAGGCCTTCATTTTTAAATGTAATGCCTCCAAGGTTTCTGAATTGTTACTATAGTAATGGCTGCTATCCAAAGTAGCTGCTTGAGATATCCCTTGAGATTTATGTCAGATATTGCAAAGAGAGTTAGAAATTCCCTGGAGTTTCACAAATGGTTTGCCATGTGGCATTAGGAAATGTTAGCTGTGAAGCACAAATACAGAGATATGCAGGACTTAGTTGCTGATTCCTGGTGGAAGAGTTCGTCACTATATGTATCAAGTTCTCCTGTTTACCAGGATGAAATCCTTAATTTCTAAAAAAAATCTTATTGAAAAGAACCTGCAGTTTTTGATTTAAGATAGTTGAGAAAGTGATGCTTTATTTTAATCCTTTTGCTTACACGGTTCGGTGTGTATGCAACATTTTACTGTGCACAATTCAATTACTGTCTTTTTTCCTATTCTAGTCTGCCAGCCATATTGCTTCCAATTCCAAGGCAAGTGCAAAAATGAAAAAGGACAATATGAAGTATGCTAGTTGGGCTGCGAACCAAATCAACAGAGCTTACCAGGTGAGCACTCAACTAAACTCTGCAGTGCATTATTCTAACTTATATATATTGGTATTTATACGTGTTGCAGAAGCAGAAATTTGTCTGAGCAGAGTCAAAAAGGCACTATGCATACACAGATTTGATAATCCAAGATACATGGATTATTACGGAAGGCTGGGGACAATGTTGTTTCACTTTGAAAAATCTCTTGAATGAATGCAGATAATAACAACAACAATAACAACAGCAACAACAACAACAACAACAAAATTATTTCTATACTGCCCCTCTGCAACACAATCGGGGCGGCTTACAATCATAAAACATCATAGCAATAAAACATCAATGTCAACACCCTAACCCACCCACCCCTTAAAAAAGTATTAAACTAATCAATTTTAAAAACATGGTAAAACAATAACAAAAAGAAGGAATATATCCAATACAGTTTCGCGGCAGATTGGGTATTCAATGGCAGAATAAAAAGGGGGGGAATTATTTAAAACTTTAGGCCGGGAGAATCATTCTGGAAAGGCCTGCCGGAAGAGATCCGTCTTGACAGCTTTTTTAAAGCTATCTAGAGAAGTAATAAGATGGATCTTGTCCAGCAGGCCGTTCCATAATCTGGGAGCGGTAGCAGAGAAGACCCTCTGGGAGGTTATCGTCAACCTAGTTCTCAACGGCTGTAGCAGATTTCTCCCAGAGGACCTGAGTGCGCGGGGGGAATCATAACATTCTTTATGTAGCTTTGACTGTTGAACACTAATGAATCCTTGTGCATTTTTATGTGTATAAGTTCAGTGCTTATTCAGCTATAACTATAATTAATTGCTGACCTTGTTACCATGTTGGATCCTGGCAGTTTGACCTGAAAGCCAGTATGCTTACCTTCCTTTTATAAATAGGACTATTATTTATGGGATAATTGGTTGGATTAAGTTCAGTCTTTAATCACTATTGATGTTTTGAAATTTTAAACCAACTCTCTCACCCCATACAGAACAAAACAGCTGCGTAAGGATTCCACCATATCTCCTACTATCACAAATATGACTTTCTTTTTCTTTTCTATTTTTAAATAATTTTTCTAAGTGATTACAACTGATGAAGTAGTTTTCATATAAGTCC